TCCGCCCGCGGCTTCACCCGCGTGAAATTTTATCTGTGATAGAAAAACTTAATCGTAACTTAATAGGGACGCCCTATTTCAAAAACCGGGATAAAAATTATCCTTCCCGGGACACAAATTATATTTATGCCAAACATCAAAATCGGTTCAGTGGTTTAGGCGTGAAAGCGACACAGACAGACAGAGTTACTTTCGCATTTATAATATTAAAGTATAGATACGAGTAGACTAGCGGCCGCCCGCGACTTCTTACGCGTGGATCCCGTTTTACCCGCTAAGGGGTGGACTTTCGTAAAATCCTTTCTTTACGGATGCCTACGTCATAACATCTACCTGCATGCCAAATTTCAGCCCGATCCGTCCAGTGGTTTGGGCTGTGCGTTGATAGATCACTATGTCAGTCAGTCAGTTACCTTTGAGTTATACAGGGTGGAATTTTGTAATGCCACCTGGAGGGAAAGTACTCCTAATACTGTCGATAGAAAATTTTACTCAAATAAAACATTCCTTTATTTTGAAAAGAATTAGAACCAGTATTAGGAGTACTTTCCCTCCAGGTGGCATTACAAAATTCCACCCTGTATAATTTAGATTATAACGATCTTACGAATATCTCACCTCATAAAACATGTAAGACGACAGCAACACTTGGAAGGCGTTGTACGCTACCAACGTGTTCTTAATCTGGAAAGGTTTCCTGGTCTCCATGTAGAGGGGGCCGGCCACCATCACGAAGGCAAGGTAGACCACCACCATCGCCAGGGTGGGCAGCGGCGTGTCGAACAGGAACCATCCTTGCACTCGGGGGTCTGGAAATAACAACTACTGGTGAGAAATGAATACACATTTTATTTGTTCATATCGTCAATCGTTAAGCCTGGGCGCAGATCACCGACCTTTAGGCTGGGTTGCACCATCTTAATTTAACTTTGACAAACGTCAAAAATCTGTCAAACTTCATTAAAAAAACACCGATTATCCTCAAAGTTACGGTGTCAAAGTTAGGTGGTGCAACTCAGCCTTAATTGGCTGATAGTTGGGTCTGGCTGTTAATACTGATTAAGATGTATGAAGATATTATAAAATTACCCCGATTTGATATCGGCCGATTCTTTATACAAATTAAAATCGGGCCCAACTATCAGTACCTGTACCTAGGCTAACACATCATACTAAGGACTGATTTTTCAACCGTCGGATATAAATTTTAACTGAATCAATATAAATAAAAATGAATTGATGTTCGTTAGTCTGATTAAAACTCGAGAACGGCTGGGCCGATTGAGCTGATTTTGGTTTTAAAATGTTTGTCGTAGTCCAGGGTAGGTCTAAACGGTGAGAAAATACGCGCGCGGTATTGTTTTTCTGTGATAGACAAAATTACGCGGGCGAAGCCGCGGGCGGAAAGCTAGTCATTCATATTTTTTCCCATACTGAAATAGGTGTCAAACTTATTCTTCAGTTAAATTTTATTCGTCGATTGAAAAACCAGCCTTAAATATTTGTCTTGCAAAATAGCAATTAATACAATGATAAGATCTTGCAGTTTTTAGATTGACGTGCTGTCGTTGTTCCAGCATAATAGAATAGGTATTTTCCCTACCCTAATCATCCCAAGGGTATTGTAAAAGGTGACTATTAGAGGAAATATAGAAACAAATATAGGAACACCAAGCCTCTGCCTGTTTGGTCAGCCTGGGCTAGCTTCTGGTAAATTGGAGAGGGTCGTGCAGGAGTACTTGAGTAGTGGAGACTTAAGTAACTTCACGAAAATGATGCTCATCATCATACAGGGTATCCCAGAATGGGTGAATCAAACTGCTAGGGGAGGTAGCTCTACTAATGTACTATCCTAAAAAAAATACGAAAAAAAATTTAGGTTCGGATTTTTTTTTAAAATAAAGTGCACTAAACTAACTAAACTCGAAATCTAGTCATTATTTTCAAAAGTTTGTTTACTGATAAATAAAACGATCATGTACAATTATCCNCTCCGCCTGAGCGAAGAGTTGGTTGATGCTCTCCAAGTTTGGGAGCCAGTTGCGGGTGAGAGCACCAGTGTTAGAAAAACCTTGTTAAAATGTCTCCTAAAACTTTCGAGACGGTGCTTGTTACCGCCCGCACCACCCCCGCTTACCCCGCTACACCACCGAGCACATGCGGCTGCCAACCCGGGAGAGCGGGGGTCTGACCGATAACCCTCCCGCGTAATAATACCATTTTTCTGATTTTATGAATTTTTCCATGAAAATTTAAAATATATATATTTTTTAATATTTTTTTGGCATCAGTGTCGTGTATACTACCAACCCTGAGATGGGCGTTGTTTTACAAAAGCACACCCTGTATTTAATGCTACCTTTGATATTTTAAGGAAATTTGTATTCAGCCAACACCACATCAGATTATTTATTGCAAAGTAACACCTATATTACAACGCTATTAATTATGGCGTCAAGCTAGATGTGCCGTCATTTTCAAAAGTACATGGCATTGCTTGATACTAACTGGACTTATCCTGTCAAGAAATATACATAGAAAAACTCTACAGCTATGAAAGTTTTCCACCTTATTGCATACATTATAAAGGTTGAATTAGCTAAGAAACGTCACGGGGTCTGGCTTTATTAATTGGTTAATGAGGCGCCTTGACATCGGCGAATAATCTTAGATTGTTGCCAAATAACGAGTTTGAATGCAATAGTGTATGGCTATGGAGCTGGTGCTAGTTTTATGAGACTCTTAGGAATGATAAAGTGCTGTGTAATTCATGAAATTAAGATTATAAATGGGGATTAGTGAAAGCAATCCAAATCTATACTTATAATAAATCTGTAGAGAGGTCAATTCTGTACATGAAATATATTTTCAAAATAACTATCAGGGGGTGATTAGTGATCGATGCAATCAGAAAAATTTTTGTCTGTCTGTCTGTCTGTCTGTCTGTCTGTCTGTATGTTCCTTATAGAAACAAAAACTACTCGACGGATTTTAACGAAACTTGGTACAATTATTCTTGTTACTCCTGGGCAGGTTATAGTATACTTAGGAATTCCCACAGGAACGGGAATTAGCGGAAAATCCTTTAGTATGAAAAATCTAAACCACTTAAGTTAGACGCTTGAAATTTGGTATGCAGGTTCCTTAGTAAACTTAAAGCTTAGTACAACAGGATATTGCAAAATTCACACGGGAACGTAGTTAGCGGGAAAAAACATTTGTATGAAAAAATCTAAACCACGTAAGGTAGATGAAGGGGGTAAAACGGGATCCACGCGTACGAAGTCGCGGGCGGCCGCTAGTAATTAAATAAATTCTGTCAAACTTTCAACTTACTATCATGAGATTTGTAAAAACAGAAGTTACAATCCAAGTTTGACTGATTGAGTCCGACTGAATCACGTCATGTTATACGTACGACTAAAAGTCCCCCTGAAACGTATTTCCGATTTGAAATCAAAAACATGGATTGAAAGTGCAATAACAATAAATGTGGAATAAATTATTTATTTGTTTATTAAGGTACAACAACAGATTGCAAATCATGGCTTAAAAATAAAGTACATTGAACAAAGATTAACAATTAATTATGTGATACTAGCTTTCCGCCCGCAGCTTCACTCGCGTGAAATTTTATCTGTGATAGAAAAACTTTATCGCGTGCTTCCCCCTATTTCAAAAACCGGGATGAAAACTATCCTATGTCCTTTCCCGGGACTCAAGCTATATTTATGCCAAATTTCATCAAAATCGGTTCTGTGGTTCAGGCGTGAAAGCGACACAGACAGACAGAGTTACTTTCGCATTTATAATATTAGTATAGATAGATTAGCGGCCACCCGCGACTACGCGTGGACCCCGTTTTACCCCCTTAGGGGTGGAGTTTCGTAAAATCCTTCCAACGGATGCCTACGTCATAACATCTACCTGCATGCCAAACAGCCCGATCCATCCAGTGGTTTGGGCTGTGCGTTGATAGATCACTATGTCAGTCAGTCAGTCAGTCACCTTTGAGTTATACAGGGTGGAATTTTGTAATGCCACCTGGAGGGAAAGTACTCCTAATACTGTAGATAGAAAATTTTACTCAAAGAAAACATTCTTTTATTTTGAAAAGAATTAGAACTAGTATTAGTAGTACTTTCCCTCCAGGTGGCATTACAAAATTCCACCCTGTATAATTTAGATTATAACGATCATACGAATCCCATCAAAAACAATACTTGTCAAAAAAACCAAGTCTCGCAACTCAGTTGTTCTACGGTAAAAAGTTGTGAGATCCATGTAATACCAAGTCCAGGCCAGGAAATCTTTAACGTTTTACATAAATTATTGACTTGGCCATCGCACTAAATAATTTAATTTACACGTGTTTTCATGCGATGGCCAAGTCAATATATTTATGTAAAACGTTAAAGATTTCCTGGCCTGGACTTGGTATTACATGGATCTCACAACTTTTTACCGTAGAACAACTGAGTTGCGAGACTTGGTTTTTTTGACAAGTATTGTTTTTGATGGGATCTCATTTCTTTTTGTATTTTGTAGACAGCAGTTATGTATCTAGAAAACTGGACCGAAATTGAAAAATTTTACTCGACTTGGCGGTTGCACTACCGTGCCCCCAAATATTTTAGTTTTTCCTTGATTCATACACCAAACACTACTTATATTCCAAATTTGAAGCTTCTAGGTCTGCTAGAAGTGCCTTAGAGTTTTGATGATCGGTGAGTCAGTCAGTGAGTCAGTGAGTGACAAAATTAAGTAACTTTGACCCGTTATAATTCTTAAACTACTGGTTCAAATTGAATGAAATTTTAAATATACCGTGTTTTTACAATGCCTGCATAGCTAATGAAAATTCAGCCTTCTAGTTTTATCCACAACGAAGTTACAGGCGGTCGAAAATGGCCTGAATTGCTTCGAGAAAAGGATGGTACGGCCGTGCCGCTTTTTTGCTCGACTTGGTGGGGGCACTGCCGTGCCCCCAGATATCTCACCTCATAAAACATGTAAGACGAGAGCAACACTTGGAAGGCGTTGTACGCTACCAACGTGTTCTTGATCTGGAAGGGTTTCCTGGTCTCCATGTAGAGGGGGCCGGCCACCATCACGAAGGCAAGGTAGACCACCACCATCGCCAGGGTGGGCAGCGGCGTGTCGAACAGGAACCATCCTTGCACTCGGGGGTCTGGAAATAACAACTACTGGTGAGAAATGGATACACATTTTATTAATTCACTAGCTGTGCCCGCGACTTCGTACGCGGGAAAACCCGCTTTCGCAACATTTTTCATTGCTGCTCTGCTCCTGTTGATTGTAGCGTGATGTTGTATAGCCTATAGCCTTTCTCGATAAATGGTCTATCTAACACTAAAAGAATTTTTCAAATCGGATCAGTAGTTCCGGAGATTAGCGCGTTCAAGTAAACAAACAAACAAACAAATAAACTCTTTAGCTTTATAATATTAGTAAAGATATCGTCAATCGTTAAGCCTAGGCGCAGATCACCAAATTTTAGTTGGCCGATAGTTGGGTCGGGCTGTTAATACTGATTAATTATGATTTAAGTAGAAGTGTGCACATTACACCGATTTGATATCGGCCGATTCTTCATTCGAATTAAAATCGGGCTCAACTATCTGACGACTAAAAGTCGGTGGTCTGCGCCTAGGCTAACACACATACTAAGGGCTGATTTTTCAACAGTCGGATAAATTTTAACTGAATCATATTAATCGGATAAATTTAACTGAATATTTTTTCCCATACTGGAACTTGTGTCGAACTTATTCTTTAGTTAAAATTCGTCGATTGAAAAATCAGACTTAAATATTTGTCTTGCAAAATAGCAATTAATACAATGAAAGATCTTGCAGTTTTTAAATTGACGTGCTGTCGTTGTTCCTGCATAATAGAATAAGTATATTTCCCTACTCTTCCTAAGGGTATTGTAAAAGGTGACTATTAGAGGAAATATAGGAACACCAAGCCTCTGCCTGTTTGGTCAGCCTGGGCTAGCCTATGGTAAATTGGAGTGGGTCGTGCACGAGTACTTGAGTAGTGGAGACTAAGTAACTTCACGACGATGATGCTCCATCATACACCCATAATTATTATACCTATCCTAGTAGCATTGACAGCAATAATTTATACCTATCCTAGCACATACCATACTAACATGGGCACCATTGTATTATGCCTGTCCGAATAGCATAGCATACATATCTAGCGAACCCGGCTGGTGATAATATAGGAGAATGTAGATTTATAATACGAGTTTGTAAGGTATAATGACTCATTCTCACTTAAAGTCGATCGAAATTAGAAATTTGTGCAAATTTTTTCTTGATCGGATTCAAAGTTTCTTTTGAAAGCTGCGCCAATGGCTGTTTTGCAAATTTATGTCCTGGGAATATGCACATTTTTCTGTTCTTATCGATACTCGTATGTTAAAGAAAGATCGCGTGGGTAGGCTTGTATCTCTAAGAGATGATCAGGCCGAAGGTGGAAGCGAGCTTCACCCGGAATTCTCAACCACAGAGGAACTGGCTATCTTACCTCTAACTGCCGGAACACAACAATGCTGTTAACATTGTTGTTATGGCGACAAGACTGAAGGTGGTGGTAGCTAGCCAGGCGGACTTAGAACAAGCCCTACCACCAACCAAACCGAACAGAAAAATCTGCAGCCACTGGGAATCGAACCCGGGACCTCTGCGTCTGAAGCAGGTGGTCTTACCACTAGACCACAGAGGTGGTTAATAGCCCAACGGTATCGGTGTCCAGTAAGATCCGAAGAAAGCGGGTTCGAACCCCGCTAGACTACTGAGGGAAACCCACTCTTAACACAAGTTAGCTTACTACGAGAGGTCAATGTGCCTATTTTAATAAAATTAAATAACATACTCAAAAATATTTTTCCATCCACAACGAAATGTAAAAATAACTCTCGATATATCATTCTTAAAAAGCGTTGTCATCAAATATCAAATATGTTTTTAGCTAATGAATGTACAATGTAGAGAATCTTAAATATGTATTATTTATTGATATGTTATGTTAGGTCAGTAAATGAAACATGATACGATTTACATAAACGAAACTTGTACCTATTAATAGTTAGAAATACAAAATAGTTTTACAAATCATCGAAAAGTATTTTCGTTAGTGACGCTTTCTGGTGTCCGTTGTTTTTAACCGACTTCAAAAAAGGAGGAGGTTATATTTTCGGCTGTATGTATGGTTTTTTTTTTCAATATAATTTTAGAAACTAAGACCACAGAANAAATAAATCTCTTCGGCGAAAACAGGATAATTTAGATCGAACTTCACTTGGTAAGTTCGTTTGATCATTCAATTAATATTAGCAAGATTAAACTCCAAACGCAGCAATTATAGCCAGATACTTAGGCAAGCTAATTTATTTTCAAATTTAAAAAAAAAATTTTGTTTCCTTATGCGCTTTATTTTTTTTAATATAATTTTAGGGGTAGTACAGTCGACAGCACATCAAGCTATACATTTTCGTTGCAAACTCGCCCCTATCGCAACTACGTAAGATACCGCAGTGTTTACGTTGACGTGCTGTCGACCGTACATTAGTAGAGCTACCTCCCCTATCAGTTTGATTCACCCATTCTGGGACAAGTATACCCCATAATTATTATACCTGTCTCAATAGCGCGAACAACAATTTGTACTTATAATACCTAACATAGTACTCGTAGCATGGCATTCATATAGCTATCGCGGCTGGTGATAATATAGGAGAATGTAGATTTATAATACGAGTTTGTAAGGTATAATGACTCATTCTCACTTAAAGTCGAATTAGAAATTTGTGCAATTTTTTTCTTGATTGGATTAAAAGTTTCTTTTAAAAGCTTTCGCCAATGGGTGTTTTGCGAATTTATGTCTTGGGAATATACACATTTTCTGTTCTTATCGATATGTTGAAGAAAGATCGCGTGGGTAGAGTTTTCGAGACGACGATACGATTTAACCGCCTCTTTGGTCTAGTGGTAAGACCACCTGCTTCAGACGCAGAGGTCCCGGGTTCGATTAACAGTGGGGGCAAATTTTACTGTTGGTGGTAGGGTTTGTTCTAAGTCCGCCTGGCTAGCTACCACCATCTTACCTAAGTCTGTCGCCATAACTACGATGTTAACAGCATTGTTGTGTTCCGGCAGTTAGAGGTAAGATAGTTCCTCCGTGGTTGAGGATTCCTGGTGAAGCTCGCTTCCACCTTCGGCCTGATCGTCACTTACCATCAGGTGAGATACAGGTCAAGAGCTTCCTCGTTGTGGATAAAAAAAAAACAATAGCCCAAAGATGTCAGTGCCCAGTAAGATCCGAAGAAAGCGGGTTCGAACCCCGCTAGACTATTGAAGGGAACCCACTCTTAACACAAGTTAGCTTACTACGAGGGGTCAATGTACCTATTTTAATAAAATTAAATAACATACTCAAAAATATTTTTCCATCCACAACGAAATGTATGAAAAACCCTCGATATATCATCATTCATAAAGAGCGTTGTCATCAAATATCAAATATATTTTTTGCTAATGAATGTACAATGTAGTGAATCTTAAATATGTATTATTTATCGATATGTTACGTTAGGTCAGTAAATGAAACATGATGCGATTTACATAAACGAAACTTGTACCTATTAATAGTTAGAAATACAAAATAGTTTTACAAATCATCGAATAGTATTTTCGTTAGTGACGCTTTCTGGTGTCCGTTGTTTTTAACCGACTTCAAAAAAGGAGCAGGTTATATTTTCCGCTGTATGTATGTTTTTTTTTCAATAATATTTTAGAAACTTAGACTGAGTTGCATCACCTTAACTATAACTTTGACCGGTGTTTTTGTATGGAATTTGAAAGACTTGACGTTTGTCATAGTTAAATTAAGCTGGGTTTAGATTTAAAAAAAAATACATAAAAAAGCAACAAAAATATCTTACTACTAAATATTAATAAAATACATGATGTTTAAAAATATCCGTAAAAGTTCTCCATAAATCCATAAAGTTCTCCAAGAATGTGTATTCTGAGCTTTAATTATAGGCTTCGTTGGAAAGTTGGCCATTTGAATCCAGTAGTTTATTTATTATGTTTCACACTCACAAACAATGCAAACATTATTAATCATAGTCTTTTTCACACATAGACGCTACTTTGTTCCATGATTCATTATTTTTAGTATCTATAATTTATTACGTTAATGTTCTTTTATACATAGTGGTTATAAATTTCATTTAAGGTATAAATGTAATCAATGACAGAAAGAGCGTACTTTTGTTGGGAAATAAAATAATTTTACTCAAACTCTGATTACCGCTTTTTTAAATTATATTAATTAATTAAGTTTATTTTTGCTCAAAAACATAAGTTTTTTAACTATAAAAAGGGAAATACGAGCATAGCAGAGTAACCAACTATAAAAAGGGAAATACGAGCATAGCAGAGTAACGAACTTTTGAATAAAAAAATATTTAATACACAAACATAGGCTTACCGTAATTAAAAGTGAAATGAATATTTAGTCCAGTTATATCACACTAACAATTGCCCCACCCGGACTCAAACCAAAAAGCTCAGCTGTAGCTCGTTACCACCAAATTGTGTTTCACGAAGGGAACATACAATTTATTGTATTTAATGAAGATTGATAACGAAACTAGTGAAAGTCGCGTACGAAGTTTCGTTCATAACTGACCTTTATCAAAAATATCTCAAGGTTACTCGGTCATTAAGATATTGAGCAACTCTTATGTTAAGGCCACACTAAGTTAGCGTAAACCTTAATGGCTTTGTTTGCTTCTGTTTTTAAGGCTGAAACTCTGTCAGCTGTCATTTTACTCGCTGACACCAGTCAAGGCATAAAATATGACTTTCTCACGCTACGCTACGATCATAGCCGTTTTTAAACATAATTATTAACTAGCGGCCGCCCGTGACTTCGTACGCGTGGATCCCGTTTTACCCCCTTAGGGGTGGAGTTTCGTAAAATCCTTTCTTAGCGGATGCCTACGTCATAACATCTACCTGCATGCCAAATTTCAGCCCGATCCGTCTAGTGGTTTGGGCTGTGCGTTGATTGATCACTATGTCAGTCAGTCAGTCACCTTTGAGTTAATATATTTAGATTATGAATTCCGACGACATCATAAAGCAG